ATGTTACATTGATTGAGAGCAATCGAAGAGATAGACAAAATTATACAAATAGTGATGATGACAAATGAAATATTTTGCAGAAAAACGAAAAATACTCACAAACGGTTGGACGACCGATTGTTTAAAATTTCTCGGTATTCTGGTAACAAGTCAAGTTGAAAATAAATTAAAAGAATAAGAAAAATTTGAGTAGAATTTGTCATTTTGGTACAAATAATTCACCTAACTGGCCATAAAGTTAAATTTATTTTTGTTAAGATCTTCTTTAGAGAATATATATAATTATTTTAGAAAAAATATACAATTATTTTGAAAAACATATATAATTACTTTTAAGAATATATAAATATTTTATAGAATTATTTTATATAATTATTTTTCAGATTACAAAATTATCTAAATTATTTTATTCAAAAATAATTAAAAATAATCATTTTTAAATCATTGTCAAATAAAATGATTTAAAAATAAGCGAAAAAAGAATAATTTTACACAAATAAAAAAATAATATTTACCGCCAGGTAAATTGCTCCATCGATGCTCGATGTCTCTCTCAGATCTTCACCTCTTCTCAAAATATGCACAGGACACTCGCGTAAAACACTCACGAATAATACACTGTAATCGCGCGCGGACTATAACTTGAGTCCAATGACTTAAACGGCACTCCCGAAACGCGTGACGCGACGAACCGGCTGCGGTTCATTTATTTTCTAGTAAATCGGCAACGAGAGTACGTTAGCTTCCCCGTTGGATTTTTACACGAAGAGAACAATTTTACTCAATCTAAAAATTTATCTAGATATATACATTCAGACATATCCGAAAATTTTTAGATACTTGAGAAAAACTATTCTTTTCGTGTAAATATCCTCTGAGTACTGAGCCCCCTTTCCACATCAGGATGTACCCGTGAGAGGGAAAATAATCTGAAAAATATAATATATAGTTATTATCTATATTGCAATTATTATGAAACGAATATCAAATATACGTTTGCAATTCGTTATCATTGCGAAATAAAGTCGGAGCAAATAAAAGGGCTGAATCTTTGATTCATAGATTATGTCTATAAGATATGATTAAAGTCAATAAAGTAAAATAGGCTAGAGATTAATAAAAAAGAGAAATGATTTTTTTTATTAACAATAAATCGTTATAAAGTTATGATTAATTTTTTAACAGATCGTAACGAAAGATGCATAAAAATAAAAATTAATTAAATTATTAAACTGCGTTAATTGCGAAAGCAGGAATTGCATGAGAGTATTCATATTAACATTGCTTTTTTATACTTCGTGTGTAATACCTTTTGTATAGACAAGTAGCCGTGTCGCGTACCGTTCTTCTTCACATATCTTTTTGAAAAGTACAATCGCGAAAAATACTAGATATAATATAAAAGTTGTATTTTATAAATATTCACATGCTACGATTGCTAGTACGATTAATTATTCATACAGTTTCGTATATTATTATATTTATTATATTAATCTTTCGCGATTATATTTCGGAAGGGAATGTAAAGAAGAGTGGCACGCAAGACAGCTACCCGTCTGTACAAGCATCAGTAAGGAAATGACTGCACGCTAACTACGCATAAACATGACGCGCCGCTCCGTGCCACCCCGCGCCATTCCTACTTCAAGGTCGCGCGCCGATCATCTAACCGTCGAAATATTACTGCGTAGTTAACGCATATTACAAAATCAGTAAAATAATCTATTCATTACGTTATAATATCCTTCAATGAATATTACGCTTTATTATACGATTTACATTTAATTTCTTCAATTCATTACGCACACAACTCATCTATATCTTAGGCCGGTATTCATAGTCAGAATTTATATTCAAGACCATCTTAAGTACAATTTTAAGAAGTCACGAATCAGAGGGCTGTATTAGTGTCTTAAGACATTACTTAAGACAGTCTCGAAATAAGAACGGATTATGAATACCGTCCTTGAATATCTCTAATTTATATATCTGTAAATGTATCATATATATAAATTCTTTTTATATCATTATTATACTTAGTCCAAATTGTTTTATAATTTAAAAAATGTTTGCGTTTTTTTAAAGAATGTATAACTTATTAATCTTTATTTGAATGTAAATCATCAGAGTAATAAAGATTGAGATATAACTCTTAGTACACACCTTAGTTTTGAGCAACAGTACTATTTGGGGATCCTTATACGTAATTAATCATCAATTCGCGTTCGTGAATATCTAATTTTTGTAGATTAATGCGCAACACCCGGAACGACTCATGCCGCACGCCCATCTTGCTCCGAAGTCGCCGAGCGAATGCCGAAGTGATGACGTATCGACCACCGCGCCGCACGGCACGCTCCTCCCTCCCCCTCGCTTTTCGCAGGACGCCCTTCAGATACCCAATTTTTGCGTATGAAAAATATTCAACGGTTTTATTCATTTATTCATATATTTTACATGATTTTGACAAACGGTATCGCTGTTTCATTTCGCGTTTTGCTTTGTGTCATCTCGGACACAATCCTATATTACTTGCATGGTTCTTTTAAACAAATTAGTAATTATTCGCGTGAGATATTTCAACATTATGTCTCAATTTTCATAATTCTTTTTAATGATTCATACTTGAATAAAGGTTGGTAAAATATTCTATATATGTTCTTTATATATACATGCAAATTTTCTTAATATCGTGAAATAATTTGTGCT